ATCAGGAACAGAAACAGAAATTGCTGGAAAAGCTCAGCAGGTCTGGCAGCGTCAGGGGAAGAGAAAGCAGAGTTAATATTTCGGGTCCGGTTCTGAGGAAGGGTCACTGGACCCGAAACGTTAACTCTGATTTCTCTCCACAGATGCTGCCAGACCTGCTGAGATTTTCCAGCAATTTCTGTTTTTGATGCTGATCCCTGAACTGTTCGGAGTGACCAATCGAAAACTATGCAACAAGACTCGGCTTTATTTCCAGGAATAAAGCGAGCCAACATTTCAGAACAGTGAGATTGCAGAATCCCTCTATCCTGTATGTTACTGTCTTCACAGAATACTGCTTTCTACAGCAAATGAAGGATTCGTCACAGAGTCCATATCATAAAGTCATACAGCACGGAAACAGGCCCTTCAGCCCTACTGACCATAATCCCAAACTAAACTAATCCCACCTGCCTGCTCCTGGCCCATATCCCTCCAAAACTTTCCCTATTCATGTACTGATCCAAATGTCTTTTAAACGCTGTAACTGTACCCACATCCACCACTTCCTCAGGAAGTTCATTCCACACACCAACCACCCTCTGTGTAAAAAAATTATCCCTCATGTCCTTTTTAAATCTCTCTCCTCTCACCTTAAAAATGTGTGCCCGAGACTTGAAATCTCCCACCTTCAGGAAAAACAACTACCATTAACTCTATCTGTACCCCTCATTATTTTATAAACCTCTATAAGATCGCCACTCAACCTCTGACCCACCAGCGAAAATAGTCCCAGCCTATCCAGCCCCTCCTTATAACTCAAACCCTCCATTCCCAGCAACATCCTGGTAAATCTCCTCTGAACCCTCTCCAGTTTAATAATATCCTTCCTATAACAGGGCGACCAGAACCGGACACAGTGCTCCAGAAGACACTTCACCAACGTCCTGTACAACCTCAACATGACGTCCCCAACTCCTGTACTCAAAGGTCTGAGCAATGAAGGTAAGCGTGCTAAACCCCTTCTTCACCACCCTGTCTACCTGTGGCACAAACTTCAAAGAATTATGTACCTGAACCCCTAGGTCCCTCTGTTATACAGCACTACACAAGGCCCTACCATTAATTGTATAAGCCCTACGCTTGTTTGTTTTGCCAAAACGCAATACCTCGCATTTCTCCAGATTGAACTCCATCTGCCAATTCTCAGCCCATTGACCCATTTGATTAAGACCCCTTTGTGTATGAGAAATTACTTACTTTGGTAAATATCTTGTAATGATCCTCCCCCACAGTATTCCATGCAAATCCACATTCGGTTATTCCTGGCAAAGACAGATCAAATCAAACACACATTACATGAACAGCCTGTTCCCACACTCGCTCCTCTCAATTAGTTAGAAATTATGGTCAATTCACCCAAACCTTGGACATATCAAACTTTGAGATGCTACACAGACCCATACCACACACACAGGAGCTGACAGACCCTCGTGCTCCTAAAAATGCTTCCCAGTTTATCCCACTACAGGTCCTGGATCATGCAGAGCTCTCTCCCTCTCAAAAACAAACTAAACAATTGGAGGTCCCCCTTCCCACCAGAGACATAATCCAGGAATAAATTATTGTTGGCAGCGTTGAGGAGTGGGCACTGTCAGAGGGTCAGTACTGAGGGAGTGCCGCACTGTCGGAGGGTCAGTACTGAGGGAGTGGGCACTGTCGGAGAGTCAGTGCTGAGGGAGTGCCGCACTGTCGGAGGGTCAGTACTGAGGGAACGCCGCACTGTCGGAGGGTCAGTGCTGAGGGAGCGCTGTACAGTCGGAGGGTTAGCGCTGAGGAAGCGGGCACTGTTAGGGTGTCAGTGCTGAGGGAGCGCCACACTGTTGGAGGGTCAGCGCTGAGGGAGCGGGCACTGTCGGAGGATCAGTGCTGAGGTAGCGCCGCACTGTCGGAGGGCCAGTGCTGAGGGAGTGGGCATTGTCGGAGGGTCAGTGCTGAGGGAGTGGGCACTGTCTGTGCTACAACAGGAGGGGGAGAGCTTTTCAGGAAGTAGCCAGAGTCTGTATACCAGCATCTGCAGTTCCTACTATCTCAGAGTCTGTATATTGATGGCTTCCTCCTGACAGACACTATGTAATCTCACTTACCTGTAGTAACTGGCGTGAAACGCGACAATATTCTGATGTTTACAGCCTTTCATCATCGTTATCTCTAACTGAAGTGAAGATACATCATCACCTGAGGAGAGAACAGAATTAGTGCAATTCTCAAAATCCCCCCTTGAGAAGGTGGGGGGGAGCTGCCTTCTTGAACCGCTGCAGTCCATGTGCTGTGGGTTGACCCACAATGCCCCTTAGGGAGGGAATTCCAGGATTCTGACCCAGCGACACTGAAGGAACGGCGATATATTCCCAAGTCGGGATGGTGAGGGGCTCGGAGGGGAATGTGCAGGGGGGGCGGTGTTCCCATGTACCTGCTGCCCCTTGTCCTTCTGGATGGAAGTGGGTCATGGGTTTGGAAGGTGCTGCCTGAGGATCTTTGGTGAATTTCTGCAGGGCATCTTGTAGATGGTACACACTGCTGTTACTGAGCGTCGGTGGGGATGGTGGGGGGGTGATGGGTAGTGGGGAGTGTCTCTTGTGAAGATGAGGCATGTTTCCTTGCACTGATGTTGAGATTGGCAGGAACATTACAACAGGCCACAAACAGAGCTGGGGAACTGTTAGACACAGAGGGAAGGTATTCCCCAAAGCAATCACCCAGTACCCAGTCTACGTTTGTTCACCTTATTTAGGAGAGCAGCATGGTGACTCAGTGGTTAGTACTGCTGCCTCACAGCACCAGGGACTCAGGTTCGATTCCACCCTCGGGTGACTGTCTGTGTGGAGGTTGCACATTCTCCCCGTGTCTGTGTGGGTTTCCTCCGGGAGCTCCAGTTTCCTTCCACAGTCCAAAGATGTGCAGGTTAGGGTGGATTGGCCGTGGGAAATTGTCCCATAATGCCCAGGGATGTGCAGTTAGGGTGGATTGGCCATGGGAAATTGTCCCATAGTGCCCAGGGGTGTGTAGGTTATATTGTCCCTGGACACTAAGGGACAATTTAGCACGGCCAATCCACCCTAACCCGCACAGGAGGGTCAACGTTTCGGGCCGAAACGCTTCGCCAGGACTGCGGAAGGAGGGGGTGGGCAACGGCAGGATTTGCTACACCTGCCCTTACCCTCTATCCCAGGCCCTTAAAACAATCCTTCCAGATCGGGCAGAGGTTCACCAGCACTTTATCCAACCTGATCTATTGTATCTGTCACTCCCAGTGTGGTCTCCTCTATAGTGGGGAGAGCAAACACAGACTCAGGGACTGGTTTGAGGAGCATCTGGTCTCTGCACACACTAACCAACCCGATCTTCCAGTTGCCATCCACCTTAACACCACCCCCGTCCCCCTCCCATTCCTCTAGTGACGTGCCCATCCTTGGCCTCCTCCAGCGAGGCCAAATATAAACTGGAGGAACAACGCCTGATATTTCGCCTTGGGAGCTCACAGCCCGATGGCCTCAATATAGACCTCACCCCAGCTTCAAAATTCCTCCACCCCCAGCCTTATCCCATGTCCGGCTCTCCCTCTCTTGACCTGACCTAACCTATCCATCTTCCCACTCACCTATCCGCTCCACCCATCCCACAGGCCATTCGCATTGGCCCCCTACCTGCATCCACCTCTCACCCTCTCTCCTACCCTTCCCCCGAGCCCCCCACCAGCACCACCCCCGCCCCCAACTCCCCTATTTATTTCTGGGCTCCCCTCCCCCTCCCCAGTCCTGGTGAAAGGCACCGTCTGACCTGCTGGGATACACATAGACAGTGAATTTCACATGTGCTCTCCCCCCATCCCCACAGACAAAGAGACTGGCAGAGAGGGGGGCCCATGTGGGTACCCATAGCAACAGCGTGGACAAAGTTTGGCGGGGGGGGGGGGCAGTGAATGAATTCATTCGGATCGTGCACTGTGAGGTAATGGAGGTTGGTGCCACTGGTGAGGCCTCTGCCTGAGGAGGGCGAGGGGGCAGCCCTTGGCATGTCCCAGTGAGGAAGGAGCGGGCACCCTCAGAGACATGGGCAATGACACCCCTGGGCTTGGAGAGGGAGGGAGAGAGAGAGGGAGGGAGGGAGAGAGGGAGGGAGGGACAGAGGTGCAAAGAGGCTGCACAAGGGCAGAGAAAGTAGGATCGAGGTGGGAAGTCATCGGCTCAGAGAAGGGAGACTCCATAGCTGTCCCACAGCTTGGGCATTGAGCCTGGTTGATGAGTAGTTGGTGAAATGATTGGCTAGTTATCCCAGAGCGTAGTTAACCAGCGATTCCCGCGATCGCTAACTTACCTGGGTCCAATTTAATGACCTTGACGGCTGAGAGCTCACTGGTCTGTAAGTTACGAGCCTAGACAGTGGAGAGAGGGGGGCCAGTTAATACAAGGAACTGGATACTTATAGAGTCATAGATCTGTACAGCACAGAAACAGACCCTTTGGCCCAACCCATCCATGCTGACCCAGATATCCTAAATTAATCTAGTCCCATTTGCCAGCATTTGGCCCATATCCCTCTAAACCCTTCTTATTCATGTACCCATCCAGATGCCTTTTAAATGTTGTAATTGTACCAGCCTCCACCACTTCCTCTGGCAGCTCGTTCCATACACGCACCACCCTCTGTGTGAAAAAGTTGCCCCTCAGGTCCCTTTTAAATCTTTCCCCTCTCACCTTAAACCTATGCCCCTCTAGTTTTGGACTCCCCCCTACCCTGGGGTAAAGACCTTGTCTATTCACCCTATCCATGCCCCTCATGATTTTATAAACCTCTATAAGGTCACCCCTCAGCCTCTGACACTCCAGGGAAAATAGCCCCAGACCATTCAGCCTCTCCCTGTAGCTCAAACCCTCCAACATCCTTGTAAATCTTTTCTGAACCCTTTCAAGTTTCACAACATCCTTCCTATAACAGGGAGACCAGAATTGAATGCAGTATTCCAAAAGTGGCCCTAACCAATGTCCTGTACAGCCACAACATGACCTTTCAACTCCTATACTCAATCCACTGACCTGACCCTTGGGCACAATACAGTGGGTCAGAACATTGACTGATTCAAACATTTTACAGCCCAAAATCCCTGAGAGCACTCGGATTAGGGAGTACAGAGCTGAAGGATTGGAAAGAGAAACAGAAGCAATTTGCACAGTCTGCAACCAACTGCTAACACAGTGCGATCCCAGATGCAACTACTCCGGGTTCTGTCCTTAGAAATCTTACCCCTTTTTGCTGTGTGGGAGTCAGGAGTGAGGACAGAGAGGTTAGAAAGGAGACAGAGAGATCCCAGAAAGAGACAGAGGCATCAACAAAATCTAATGCGAGTGTCACAGGAGGGAAAGTAGCTAACTTTGATATATTACTGTCACATGGACCTAAATACAGTGAAAAGTTTTGTTTTGTGTGCTGTACAGGCAGACCATACCATACGAAGGTCACAGGGTGATAGAACAGAGCGAGGAATACTGGGTTACAGCTGCAGTGAAGGTGCACAAAGACCGAGATCAACATTGGATTTGAAATTTGAGAGGTCCATTCAGAAGTCTAATAACAGCAGGGAAGAACCTGTTCTTGAATCTGATGGTCCAACGGAAGAGGTTGGAGGAGATTATAACTGGGGTGGGAAGGGTCTTTGATGATGTTTGCTGCCTTCCTGAGGCAACGAGAAGTGTAGATTGAGTCCATGGGTGGAAGGTCTGTGATGGTCTGAGCTGTGCCCTCCACCTTCTGTAGTTTCTTACGGTCCTGGGCAGAGCAGTTACTGTACCAGGCCGTTTTGCACCCAGACAGTTTGCTTTCAATGGTGCATCTGTAGAAGTTGGTGAGTGACCTTATGGACAAGCCAAATTTCCTGATCCGCCTGAGGAAGAAGAGGCGTTGTTGTGCCTTCTTGACTATCACATCTACGTGGGGAGTCCAGGACAGTTTGTTGGTTATCGTCACTCTGAGAAACTTAACACTCTCAACCCCCTCCACCCAGATCCCAGAAACAGACAGAGGGGGTTTCAGGGGGGCATCAGCGAAATCTAATTTGAGAGTCACAGCAGAGCAAGCAGTGGATTGTTCAGTAATTTCTCAGTTTTCTCTCTCTTGTACCTGCATTTTGGTTTATGTTAAGGCCCCAATTATTAAGTCTAGACACGCAAATAATGAGAATTTCAGGACTTCAAAAGCAAAATTCGCTTGCCAGAGTGTTAAGGGGCTCCTGACATAAACAAGTATAAGATTTTTCTCATGCAGCATCATACAGTTCAGAAGAGGCCGTTCGGCCCATTGAGATTGTACCTCCAGAACTGACCAAATCGACACTTTCCTGCACTAGGCCCGTAGCGTTGACATTTCAAGAGCTGATCTGACACTTTTTAAAAGGATTGTGAAGTCTCCTGCCCCATCTCCCCTCTCATCAGTGCATTCCTGCCCCCAATACTTTCTAGGGAAAACACTTCAGTCTATTCTTAAATCAGAAGGAGGTTTAAATCAGAGGAAGATCCCTTTTTCTGCTTAGCTAGGATAGGTCTGGCATGCAGACAGGCACTGCTAGGATTGAGGACATAACAAAGACAGACCCAGCAGAGGGGGTTGACACAGCGGGATACAGTCGGGAGGGAGTTGCTGTGGGAGTCCTCAACATTGACTCCAGACCCCATGAAGTCTCATGGCTTCAGGTTAAACATGGGCAAGGAAACCTCCTGCTGAACCACATACCGTCCTCCCTCAGCTGATTAATCAGTCTCTCCTCAATGTTGAACAACACTTGGAGGAAGCACGGAGGGTGGCAAGGGCACAAAATGTACTCTGGGTGGGGGATTTCAATATCCACCACCAAGAGTGGCTCAGCAGCAGTATTACTGATCGAGCCGGTCGGGTCCTAAAGGACACAGCTGCTAGACTGGGTCTGCGGCAAGTGGTGAGGGAACCAACAAGAGGGAAAAACATACCTGACCTCATCCTTACCAATCTGCCAGCTGCAGATGCATCTGTCCATGACAGTATCGGTAAGAGTGACCATCGCACAGTCCTTGTGGAAACAAAGTCCCACCTTCACACTGAGAACAACCTCCATCGTGTTGTGTGGCACTATCAATGTGCTAAATGGGACAGACTTCACACAGATCCAGCAACTCAAGACTGGGCATCCATGAGGCGCTGTGGGTCATCACAACAGCAGAATGGTACTCCAGCACAATCTGTAACCTCATGGCCCGACATATCCCCAACACAGCTATAATGGAGTTTGGGAGGGGGTGTAGGGAACAGCCAGAGGTTGTGGTCTACATTGGGACCAACAACAGGGGATAAAAGACAAATGAGGCAGACTTTAGGGAGGAAATTGAGAGACTCCCGAGACACTAATCTCCAGATTGTTCCCGGTGTCAAGGAGCAGAGAGACGGGACAGGAATAGGCAGATAGAGCAGAGTAACTGGAGAAATGATGCAGGAGAAAGGGCATTAGATTCCTGAGGAATTTGGAACTGTTTCTGGGGGAGGCGGGAGCAGCAGAAGTTGGATGGGCTACATCTGAACTAGAAAGGGTGCTCGGGAAGGTTCGCTGGCGCTATTTAAATGAAGCAGACAGGGGTCAGGGAATCATGACAAGTAGGTCAGAGGGGAGAGAAGCTGAGATGGAATTTGGGGTCAAACCGCGAGTCGGTGCACAGGTGAAATAAGAAGGACATGATTTTGGCAAAGCAAAACGCAACATATTCTTAATGCGAAGAGCACGAGGAATGAGGAAGACAAGCTGAGCGACGCAGGTAGGCACGTGCAATGTGACACCTTAACTATGACGGAGTTTTTGTTGAAAGATGGGCAGGATTGGCATCTCAACATCCAGAGGGGAAGTTCAGACAAGATGGAGAGGGCTAGTGGAGGACGTGCGGGTCACAGTTATTTAGCGGTGAGAGGGGCAAACTCTTGGAAGGACTGTCAAACGAGGCTGTGTTCGTTAAAGTAAAACACCCAATGGGGGCAAATGTATTGGTAGGGTATATACCGCACAAACCCCCAAATGTCAGAGAGCGAGAGGATCAAACAAATAATCACACTCCAGATCAGCACACTGTTCTGGAAATCATCACAGCTCCTCAAGCTTTAAGGCTATAAAATTACCAGGTGCCTAGATAGGGTTGACGGTCCTGACAAATGGTTTCTGCCTGAAATGTTGACTTTCCTGCTCCTCGGATACTGTCTGACCTGATGAGCTTTTCCAGCCTCACGTCTATTGCCAGTCAGGACTTTTTCCACCAGAGTTGAATGTTTAATACCAGGGGGGCATGCATTTAAGAGGGGGAGGGGAGGTTCAAAGGAGATGTGACGGGCAAGTTTTTTTACACAGAGCGTTAAGAGTGTGGAACGCCCTGCCAGGGATGGGGTGGGTGGAGGCAGATATGATAGGGGCGAGTAAGGGGCTTTTAGATAAGCACATGAATATGCAAGGAATGGAGGGATATGGACCAAGGGCAGGCAGAAGGGATTAGATTAATGTTTAGCACAACATTGTGGGCCGAAGGGCCTGTTGCTGTGCTCTACTGTTCTATGTTCTGCCAGAATAATGAGTTAGTAATAGTCGGGGATTTAACATACTAATTAGGGTAGTTTTAATATGGAAGGAAGAAGGTAACAAAATTCTAAAAGGAGAACTTTCTCTAGCCAGTGCGAAGAACGAGAGAGGGGCAGTTCTGAATAACATTTGGGAGTGAGCTCAGGAAGGTGTCAGTAAAGGAGCATTCTGGAGACAGTGATCATAACCCAGTTAGATTTAGGATGCCGGTGGGGAAAACAGAACAATGGACCAGGAACGGAGAATGCAAACCGGGAGAAGGTCAATTTTATGAAGATAAGATACAATTTGGTTCCAGTGAACTTGAAGCAGTTCCTTGCTGATAAATCCGTGTCAGGGCTGGTTTGAGATTCTAGAACTGGGGGCACAGCCTGAGAACGAGGGCCAGACTGTACAGGAGAGATATCAGGAAGCTCTTCTACACACTAAGGGTGGGAGAGGTTTGGAATTCTCTTCCACAAACAGCAGTGGATGCTGAATCAGTTGTTCATTTTAAATCTGAGAGAGAGAGAATGTTTTTATTCAGCAGGGCCATGGGCCAAAGGCAAGTGTATGGAGTTGGGCCACACATCAGCCATGATCTGATCAAATGACAGCACAGGCAGGAGGGACTAAATGGCCTCGTCCTGATGCTATGACTGTGAAACATTAGAATAAATCG